CCTAGCAGCTAGCAGAGTTTTCCTCTACTAATATGAAGCCAGGGACAACAGTAACATTTAACAAAGGTAATGTTACAAAATTCAGCTTCATTACAACTCACAAGGTTCACTGACAAAACAACTGTCTTATACTAAACATGTTTTCCAAATAAATACAACATGCTAACATTATTAGCACAAGCCTATGGCATTTTACGTTGTATAAATTAGCCTAGCATCTAGCGATCTTTTCCTCCTCTACTCATATGAAGCCAGGGACAACAGAAACATTTAAAAAAAGTAATGTTACAAAATTCAGCTCCATTACAACTCACAAGGTTCACTGACAAAACAACTGTTTTATACTAAACATGTTTCCCAAACAAATAAAACATGCTAACATTATTAGCACAAGCCTATGGTATTTTACATTGTGTAAATTAGCCTAGCGACTAGAAGAGAGTTCCTCTGCCCATATGAAGCCAGGATAAATCACACACAGGACTTAGAATGATATTTTGTGGAGGCTTTATTGTCTTCACAATTTATTGTTTCTTATCTGTAAAATTAAAGTAAATAAAAGCTTTGTTTCCACTGAGGGAAATGGTTACAGAAACAGACAGGAGGTCTGCATCACTGCAGCTAGTTTGGGTAGGTGCACGTTAAGCTACGGCATAGGTACGGTGTCGATTCAACGCAAAAGTATAAATTCCCCCAAACTGACCAAACCCACCAGACTTCATTTAAATAAACAGTAATTTTAGAGTGTGTATATCCAGTATGTTTTCACATCTAACTGGGTGAATAAATATTTTGTTTTAACCAAACCAGAGTTGGTGATTGTTGGAACAGCGGGAAGACGAACTAAGACAGTTTCTTAGAGTTTTATTTTGTCTCTGTCGACTTTAAAATAAGTGTGTTTTACAATGATAAAATAATTGTTTGCTTAAATGGACTCTGGTGGGTTTGGCAATGGCGATTTTGGGGCCTCTTCAGGTGAAACAAAAAGGATCTTATGCTGCTATATTCCATCAGGCAGACGGACAACACCTTCTAGACGGCAGGTACAAAAAATACAAATAGTTTGAGAGAATATCAGGATGATAAAATAAAACATGCATGATATGTTGCAATGGTGATGCTGTATTGTTTACTAAGAATTACATAAAATATATTAAATAAATCTATTTCATCTTATTACTTTTTCAGCAGAAACAAATAATATATATCTTTCTACCGTAAGATATAAATAAACCATTAATTCACCCAGTTTGATATTAAATTATGCTGCCAAATCACTGTTTATTTAAATAGAGTCTGGTGGGTTTAGCGGTAGTGATTTTGGTGACTAGGTATATCTGAGGCTAAAGCAGCTACCTAGCCCACCATATCTATCTCCATATCTTCAAGCGTAACGTAGCTGCAGGTGTAAGTAATTGATTTCAGGGCTTTCTCTGTAGGGATCCTTTCCATAATGTTGTCAGACACCTATTATAACAACCTGAGCCTATCAGCATCAAACACAAACACTTTTAGTGGATGTACATCACCGCACATTACAGAGTGGTTACACTGCAGCCTGTTTCACAGCTGCTGCCTGCAGCGCTCTCACTTAATACTGAATTAATTTCAAAAACTGTTGTTCCCATTCGTGACTTAGACACAAAAACATGGAAAATAGAGTCCAGATTTTTTATTTTTTTTTTTTTTTAAATACCAAGTTCCCCTTTCATAAGCATTTTAAATGCTGCTAAAAACATATATACATATATATATTCACCTGTGCTCCGACGTCTTTGCTGGTTACTCCTTGTTTCTCTTTTGTTGATGCAGTTCGCCTGAATTTGGGAACATTTACTACAGTAATAATGATTTTTAAGTCTTTTCCCTTAATGTATTTAAAATGAATAAATAAATAAATAAATGAAATCTTTTGACCTGCTGTTCAGGCGAAACTGATTTGGGCTCTGAGGAAATCTCACAATGCTGTGAGAGGCACTCCATCGATTTAACACATGAACTACAGTTTACTCGTCACGAGGAGTTTTACTCAACTGGTAATAAACAGCTGTAAAATGGTCTGTGGCTCTGTGTTGTCAAATCTGGATGACGATGAAAGAAATGTAACAAAAAAAAAGAAAAAAGGAAAATGCCTTTGTGCTTAAAGTATTTAAATTTTTAATAAAAGAAGCGACAAAAAAACACTATTACTAACGAAGATCTTGCATTTGTGGACAGTAACAACATACATTTACAAGTCCTTAAATATAGATATGAGGTACTTCTACTTACGCAACTTACTACGCTCCTCTTCTACCTGACTACATGTCAGATGGGAATATTGTACTTTTTACTCACTACATTTACTTAACAGCTAGGTCCTTTGAAGAGTCAGATTTTACACGAACACACTGTATGATCAGTTTATACAATGTGATGTAAAATATTTCTACATTAAATTGACATTGGCATTGGACGTTGTCCTGACTTGAACTTTGGTCACCTGATGTCACAAACTCAATTTAAGTAAATATCAACATCTAACAATGCTGGTATCCAGCTGGGTTTATTGTTAAAAAATGTTTGGTTTTAGTTCATTTTTGTTGGTTTCAGTATTTCAATTGTTTTATTTACAAAGGTAAACATTTTAGACTTCTTCTTTCTTTCTTTTAGTTTAGTCTATTATTTTATTTCAGATCACTAGTTTTTTCACAGTTAACCATACTAAGTTAGTGCAAAATCAATGTAGTAATGAATCTGTCTTTATTTTTCTGTAAAGTGTCGTAGAGATCTTAAGTTATTTAGGATATTCTCATATGAAGGGCTGAGACATTTGGATCATAATTAGAAATGGCGCAGAAGGTAAATTATCAGAGTGTCCCACTTCACCAGCATTCACACTATCTATTGTCTTCCTGCGTGTGCACACTGTGATACAAGTGAAATTTCCTAATTTCACAAGTTTTGGCATTTAATTTTCACTGACAATATGTAAATAAAAATGATGATGATGTGTTTTTTGCAGGGGTCTGTATCAAACAGTGAAAATGAAGCCAACGCTGAGGTACAGTTGTTATATTACTCATCAGTTACATTTTATTAAGGCTTGAAGTTACGCATAATAAAAGGCGGGGCTGCTTTAAGTGACTGCTGATAGTGTTCTTGGATTCTCAGTCGCTCCTCCACAGCTCCAGCCTCTCGCCCAAATATGATCACTTCTGGCAACGGCTGAAAGGCGATCTCCAGACTTTAAAATGGTAGTCCACAAACCAGTTTGTGATGTCATGGTAGCTACATCAGTTATTTTTACAGTTCATGGTTTGGACATCGATTTGTAGGTCGGGGCCTCTCCGTAGCACAACGATGCTTCATTTATGTTGGTATGCTTTATCAAAAACGTACAGCTCCTGCGATTTGTATAATGTACTTCGCCATATTGCAATAATATTTTCATTAATTGTGCAGCCCTACTTTCCACCACCGCCTCTACACTTCAGCTTTTGCTTTATCGTCTGAGTGTTATTTTTTTATTTGGTTGTAATTAAACAAAACTCTTAACCAAAAAACACAACCTGTAACTCTGTTCTACTGTTGAAGTAGAGCTGAAGGGTAATCATTTGTAAATAGATGTAATTTAACAGACCCGATATATGATTAAACATTCAAAGTGCTTGTGATGCTGCAATTAAACATTTACCAGCTGGTCATTTTTCTATTAGCTTGGAAACACCCTCCTCTGCAGCTGACAGCTCTCTGTGGAGCTTCTCTAAATGAATACAACTGAAACAGGGATTCTCTTAAATGATAGCAGGTGACCAGAGTGCTTAAATAAAATAGGAACACTTAGACCAGATCCTCTATAATTTACAGCTCCTGAATGATGAACTTTGGGGTGATGGGTTGGATTAAGGACACGGCTGCCAGGCATCGTCCTTGTGCTCATCCTGAGCCGGAGCTGGGCCACAGGGAGCGGCCGATTCCAGCCCACCTCGGCTCTGAAAGCTCTGGGAACGGGAGATGGAAGTAATAACGGAGGACACTAACAGCCCTGAACTCACTCTCTCTGGCAGTCTACACCTCCCTCCTCCTCCTCCCTCCTCTCCCTCCACCCTTTACTCTTTTTCCTTGTCTTTGCCTCTGGCTGTCTGTCACAACTTCCGAATGTCACGCCCGACCATTCTGCACCCTCTCTCCTTTCAAAAACACATTAAAAAAGTTTTCCTGCCTCGGCCCTGTCACATGTGCACTGCGAGTCCTGGCTGTCTCCCTCTCTATCCACCCATCCATCCATCCATCCATCTGTCCGTCCAGCCGCTCAGACACATCACTCTCACATTGTGTGCGTCTAGAGGGAGTCCAGGTTTTCAGACACTCTCTCCAACCTCGGCTCCTTGACCATTACTACTCCATTATCAGCGGCGATGGAGGGCGCGCCGCAGACGCCTAATGTATCCATTTCCCCCTCCATTTAGGACTCGGCAGCCCAGCGAGCTCCCGGAGTGCTCCCTGATTGGGATTGAATGTCCATTTAAACTGCCGTCCAGCCACCGGGGAGGAGGTCGGGGGGAAGAGGAAGAGGAGGAGGGAGTAATGGAGGTGTATTGGAGTAAAGGAGTGTATGCGGAAAGAGGAAAAGGAGGCGAGGGGATTGCTCCCCAGCTTCTGATTCTGAAGCTGAGATTTTTCCTTCTCTCTTTCTTTCCCTCCCAACCTTGCTGTGTCTCTATCACTTTTTTTTTTTTTTTAAACTTTCAAATACGCCTCCGTAGAAAAAGCTCTCCTCCTCTGGCGCCGAGCCAAGTGTCAGAACTCAGCACTCGGTATTCTCAAGGTGCGTTTCTAAAAAGAGGGATTTGGAATTGAGATGATTGGAGTTGGCACATCCGTAGAGGGAGGGAGGGAGGGATGGAAGGGAGGAAGAGGGTGAGACAGAGAGAGAGACAGAGAGAAAGAAAAGAAAGAAAGAAAGAGGCGGGAGATCACACACATACAGTACAAGACTTGCAGAGGTGAAACGGTACCTTGTAGGAGAACTCCTCCGTTCTTTCTGAAGAGGGGACTCCCCGACCACAATGGAGGACTAGAGAGGACAGAAGAAGAAGAAGGGATGTGGGGGGGATGGGGGGAGAGAAAGAAAAAGAGAAAACTGGTCAACCATTTGATCATGTTGCAGCAGCCAACCAGCCCAGCAGGCTTCATCACGAGGCAGATAGCAAGGCAGGAATTTGAGCCCATAAGCCAGTGCTTCTGATTATAGTGATTAGATTCCCGGGTGTCCCACTGTTGCCATTATTCCCTGTGATTACCTTGGAGAATTACAGCCTCGCCGCTGTAGTCCATGGGGGTAATTTCTCATGACAAACCCCCGCCGCCCGCCACTGGTCCATTCACACACATTCAAACCAAAAAAATCATCAATGCACACACATTTAACACGCGCTCATGTCACATGAGGCGCGTACACTCAAGCTGCAAAGACACACACGGAGGAACACACAAAGCCGGGGACTCAGTTTAGGTGATCATTGCACCACTAATGAGGGAGGTAATGACGGCATTTCTCACACAGACGGAGACATCTTCACTCAAACATGTGCACACGCAGGAAGACAATAAACAGTGTGAATGCTGGTGAAGTGGGACACTTTCTGATAATTTACCTTCTGCGCCATTTCTAATTATGATCCAAATGTCTCAGCCCTTCATATGAGAATATCCTAAATAGCTTAAGAGCTCTACAACACTTTACAGAAAAATAAAGACAGATTAAAGACAGGATGGATGAATCTCCCTCAAACACATAGTGACCTAAAACCACATTTTACTCAGCGCTACTGTCAAAGTGGGACACCTTTGCTAGCAAACTGGGACACTTCACACACATTGTTATTTAAGCACAGGCCTAATGAATACACAAGCATGACACAAACAACTAGAATTACCGCCTCATGGTTGCATGCCTTCACCAACCAGTCAAGTTTCCATCCATGTCAGTGAAAACATGGATGCTTCACACACAGAAGATCTATACAATCAGCACAGTTTCAAGATTAGAGTCACCAATTCAGGATCTGACCAAATGTCTCCCCTTCTGTTCCTGAGATATGACGCCGAGTGATGGCCAGAAAAGTGTTTAATGCAGAACATTATGATTATATGTCACAGTGAAGCTGACCTTTGACCTTTTGGATATGAAACATCTAGGGCTGACCCAAAAAATTCGAAGCTTTGAAGCTTCGAAGCTTCGAAGCTTCGTTCGATGGCATGGGATTCAATTGTGAATTATTATTTTTTTTAATATTTTGCCTTTTTTTCTCACGTTTTTTGGGGGGACCTTAAACGCAACACCATCTCTGACAAGGAAATAGAAAGCCCAACGTGCAATGAATGGAGACCTATTATCCTGCTTGAACACAGACGACTAAATTCTTTCAACAGTGTGACTCAAAATAATGATAAAATAGATTTTACTGATGTAAAATAATATGCTGATGGTGACATTTTCCACCGGTCCGCTGTGCTCTGAGTCTGGTGTCAGTGACACGTGCTGCTCTGAGTCGCGCATCTGTCTGCTTGCGCTGCAGTGCGCGCCGAAGGTTTTAATTTTTAGTGTTAAATCAAAAGTTAAACATTACTTATCAGCAACCAGAAGTGTTTATTCGTTTGTGAATATTTTTATCTTAATTCTAGGGTTGCAAGAAACTACCTTTTTTCACTCAGCACCCCCCTCACAATATTTTGTAATGGTTTAATTCATTTATTTCATATAAATTGATCTCTTCTAACAATTAATTCACAGGCTAAATTCTATTTCTGCTTTTTTCAACAGTTTAGGTTAGTCAACACGTCAGTACAGCCAGTGCAAGTGAACAATGCCTCCCCATATTCTAAGCTGGCTCGTTGCAAGATGGTTAGTGACCTAGTGACGCCATTACCAGACCAGAAAGTTTGGAGCCACTTTGGTTTCGCTGTGAATACTGAGGGCAACGGCAAGAGACAGAGTGGTGGATAAAAACACACTGAGCAACCCCTGAGCCGAAGCATGAGCCACTGCGCACCGAGAGACTTGTTAGCAACCAAGCCAGCAGCACACAGTCACGGCAAACACACCATCTGAACCAGGGAACAAGAGCCACTGCAGCTAAGCCTCTCGCTCAGCAGCTAACAGCAGCTAAGGTTAGCACAAAGCACACACTCGCAGCAGAGGGCCCGATAGCCGATTTGGCCAGAAAGAATGAAAGCTAACATTAGCTTAGCTTGTTTAGTTTGTGTTTATATGATTGTGGCATTTGTCAGAGATATTTATTCATGTATTTTACTGGACGTAGCAAACCTGCCGCCGACACATGGTGGGCAAAAGAAATGACACTGACACTATGAGCTCTCACATCCGTAGAAACATCGTTTTTTTATATAGTAGTGGAGTGGTAAGAATGGCTCCAGTGTGTCGTCGAGCTGGCTTTTAAACCGCTGGACACAGAAACTGTTTCTTAACGTGTGTGATGTGTGTGAAGAGAAATCTCTGATTCTGCTTTAATCAGACTGTAAGGCCTGCTCTGTACGAAAAACAAAGCCCAAATTATGTTAGTTTGCATACATTTAAAATTCTAAAAATCAAGGACATTTCTCGGGCATTTCTATTTTTTTTTTTTTTTTTTTTCCCTTTTCCTGTATCGCACTGAACCTAACCATGAGTTTTGTGAACTGCTACACCCTGAGTACACAACCTATATTTTGTAATCACATATTTGCCACGGATGAAGTCAGTGTTGATTATTTAGTGATGGATGTATATACACGTAAAGATAAAAATTATAAAGCTCAACTGTCCCACTTTACTCATTGTCCCACTTTACCAGTGTTCACGTCGCAGTTCAGCTGGTGAATACGTAATTTTAAAAGCGACGGAGAAAGACGGACAGACAGACGGACAGAGAGAGGCTGTAAGAGCTTTTCCAGGTTGAGTGGTCTTTAGCTCCCCATTAGACAACACGTCTGACTGCTCCTTTCTCTCTGAGGCTAGACAGGCTGTTCTCAAACACAGTCATTGTGTGTCCGACAACATTCATCGTGGTCATATGTACACACGCACGCACACATACCACACACACAAACAGGACAGAAAACACCTGGGGGACGGCTGTGAACTCTGAAAAAAGCAGCCCACTCGTTCCCACTCATCAGGAGAGTTTCCTTTGTAATGCGAGTCCTGTTTTATGTTCTGCTAAGCTGCTGAATGAGAGGATTTGGACGTCTGCACTTGTGATGTGGCTCTCACCTCACCAGATGCAGGCGAGAGATGGACTCACACACACACACACCGACGCACAGCTGCACACACACTTACTGTACACACACACACACGGCAAAGAAAAAAAAAAAGCAAAAGCAGCGAACGCAAATTTCAGCCCTGAGCCACCTGCTGTTGCCATGGAGAGTTGCCACATTGCGTTGCCACGGCGATAACATATTTTTCCTGCGCTAACAGCCTGTCTGTTTTCCCTACCACCCCGCCCCCCCGCCCATCTCATCCCCCCCCCACCCCCCGCTCTCTCTCCGTTTCCTCACTCCTTCTTTCCGTCTCTCTCCCCATCCCTGCGCCGTCTCTCAACAAATGGCTTCACAGTGCGACAGCACCTGCCTTATACTACATGTGTTGCCATGGCGGCGTTCCCGTTACCAAGGCAACCCTGTGCATTTAATGTAGTGGGCGAGGGGCTAAACTCGTGGCAGACGCTTGTTCTGCAACCCCCCCTCCTCCTCCTCCCAACATCTCCCCTCGTCTTTTTTTTTCTCTGAGGGAGGGGAGAGGAAGAAAGAGAAGGAGAGAGCTCCTCCCCAACCCCCTTGAGACACCCTTCCCTCCTTCCATCCATTCTTTCCTCCTCCTCCTCCTCCTCCTCCACCTCCTCCTCTCATCCAGATGCTGATGGGGTGTGAAGGAATGCACCATGGAGCTGACCTCCTACCCAGCATGCTCTCTTTCCCTCTTTCTCCCTTACACACACACACACACACACACACACACACACATGCATATGTCAGACACCCATTTGGAAATGCATGCATAGGGTACATACACCCCCCACTTACACACACACACACACACACACACACAGATTTGGACTGTAACATGACTCACACACACATATGCACACACAATCACACATGTGGACACACGCTGAAGCAGGTGGGGGTCGACTCGGAGCGGTGTGAGTTATTACGGTCCATGAAAAAAAAAACCCAAGAGGTGTGAGCGACAAAGAGTAGAGGACAAAGAAGCATCTCCGTCTCTCTCCTCCCTCCGTCTTCTCTCCTTCTCTTCACTCCGCCACTTCTCCTCTGTCTCTCCCTTCATCTTCTCATTCTCCCCGTTCATATCCTACTCCTGAGTTGTGTAGAAGCGCTTGAGACAGTCCTTGACCTTAACATAATAGACACGCTGTGCAACCATTCACCGTCATTACACTTCATAACATAATATTCTTGAGAGTGAGAGCTCTTCACAGAAATATGGTGTTATATTGATTGGGCCGACTGTGTTCCAAGACACATAGAAAGGAAACTGTTAATCCCCTGTAGTCTGACACGGACTGTACATTTGATTTAAAGCTTTTGTTTTAGGATTCTTCAGACTGGATTTATTCCCTGAAGTTCTAATCCAAACCTCCAGACTCGCTGCTGCATGCTTAACTTTATACGAATACTAACCTTGACCTTAAAGTTCTGTGATGTGTTTAAATCTTTAACAGTGTTGTGGTTTCAAAACTTCCAACAAAACAATCCCGACTCTTTCAGACATATCTCGTGATCTTATGCAAAAGGTTTTGACTGATATGATACCAAATGCATGTCGACAGATCTATGTCTATAACAACTATGATGAGGCCTGTGTCGTACAGCTGAAAGTTCAGGAAAAAGATGGTAAGTGGACAATGAGTGCAGAATTCTTTTATCAAATCACTATCAACGAGGTCAAGAGTGAACTTGTGATTAGTTTATTGTCTAATATCATAAAAAGTGAAACAGACTGCAGCTGATATTGTGCCATGTTATCACACAGAGCTTTAAAGGGTGATA